ATAGCCTATAGTTACATAGTATTTTAATTTAGTAATGTACAATATAGGTAGGTACCTGCTTTACAGTTTAAATGAATAATTAAATAAATATTCATATTGATATATTATAGGTATAGGTAAATGGATGATAAATATAATAGTAATATAATTGGTATAAATATTCATATTAAACTATATTTTTTACAAGGCATTTGAAAATTTATCAATTTATAGTAAAAATTTGTTGAAAAAATGYCCACCCAGATATTATAATATAAGGATAAAATATGAGATTTACAAGTTTACAACCCTCTACCAATAAATAAATAAATATTGTCCCTAGTAGCGCCTATGGCCATGACTAAATCTTGTGCATAAATCRCTCTCGGTGATAATGGTTGTGGTACAGACGAGTAGATAACCTCAGAAACCCTTCTGGTTGTAAAAACGCGGCTGTTAATCTTTTTGGGCACCCGAACACTCGTTATTCGACTGGCAGTGGTTTAAGGCTTAAGCCATTTCGTCGAATGATCGCACACGTTCGATGGTCGCCACCAGTCGTTGATGTTCCTGTAGTGTTTGGTCGGCGTGCCGTCGTCGTGCAGCATCGCGCACAGTCGGCAAAAGAACTTCGTATCGATAAACTCGCCGGTGCCTTTCCACCGGAAGTACTCGTTGTATAGGTCGTCGTCGGCGTCCAACAGCCACAGATACTCGGCCAGCTGTTCTGGCGACTCGTAGTCGTCCACGTGCAAATACGACCGCCTAGGTGCTATCCGCTCGTAGTCTTCCCGGCGCCCACCCATCACGATTGGCAGAACGTTGTACCTGCAAATCGAAAAATTATTGCTGATTAATATTTTAGTTACCAACTATGACAGTTTTAGTATCCTTTGTAAATTACTAAATTACTAAATAAATTTTCTAGTAATAAACAAATTAAAGTAATAAATAATAATACAATTATTTATTATTATTTATTCGTATGATATGAAAATCAAAAATTAATTTTTTATCTAATAGTTACTTTGAAATATTTAATATTTTTAAAATAATAGGTAAGAATGTTATAAGCTTACTGAAGTCCATCGATGAAAAACTTTTCTGTCACATAATCGATACAGTTTGAACTCTCAAAAGCTAAATAGAATTTATAATCCCGGTCTAATATTTGTAAAAAGTTATCAGGTATGTTTGTTTTTAATCCTTCACATTGACCATAAATGTCAACAGACATATACTTCCCCAATTCTTTAGCATACAATAATCTTTTGTTGTCAGTATTACAATTAGAAACTACCATCGCAACCCGTTTCGTTTTATTTAGAGAATAATTCCTATTTAACCGTTCAACTCGAGTCACTGAAGKATCGAAATATGCCCATCGTCCATATGGTACRACAATRTCACTGTCATGTCGATATGTAGCTGTCCAGTTAATCATATCATTTATTCCTTCAAATCCCCAGTAATATGCTGACTGAAGGAAAAATAATATCCATATCTGTTAAGAACAGTCACATTTATTTAATCATAATTACGATAATTTTATTTTGTCACACCTACTTGTTTATTACTCTTTTTAACACCTGTTTCGAAAAAAGGATTCTCAAATTTGTCTCGAAATACAATTGCATCCATTAAAGAAATTAAATTTTTCTTAATTGAAATTGTACATCTATTCACTGGACAATCGTTTGAAAGAAATTCACTTTGACCTATATCAGCTACCATCCAATTAGTTAAACCGTTATATAGTAAAATATTTTTCATTGGTGCATTTTCATATTTATAATTGGGTGGTATGAACATTAGTTGTTCTTCTATACGGTCACCACCTTTTTTTTCTTCAGGCCACAATCGTGAACTTCTAACTCCAGTCGTAGGGTCTACCTTCGCTTGATTAGGCTCTTGTATTCCATCTAACAAAATCAGTTTCTTTATTATGTTAATCAAATTTAGTTTTAAGATAATACGAAATATTTTTTTAGTTTGATCAAAATTAGGTAATATAATAATATATATATCAAGGTACGCGGAGRAGTCATTTCGGCTGTTCTATGGAATGGTCGAACGCATCTTCTCATTTAAAGAAGAAGAGGAGCGAATCCGCCAGGCTGCGGAGGTGCGGCGGTGAGAAATGTTGTTGTAAAAATTGTTGTTGTATAAATTGTTGTTGTAAAATGGTTGTTGTAATATTAGTGAGTGGGGGATTGTCCCACCACTAATAATTGTCGATGTTATTGTTATCAATAAACGACGGGAGTCAGAGGAGAAGTAATGCTAACGCGGTTTTCCTTCTCTGGCTCTCGATACAAAAGGAAAAAAAAAGGTAATTATAACAATTAATATTAAAAATATTTATAATTAATATTTTATCATATATGTATTATGTATTATAATCAATMATTTATTGAATTATTTATAACACACAGCATATAATGATYAGGGTAAACCAGTGATACTTTTTGTGTGTATTAATTGCTATAACTAAATAAATATTAGAATAATGTTTTTTAACCTTCGAAATACCACGGTAAATTCTTAAAAGTGTTTTGTTTTATTGAACGATCGGGATTTTTGCTTAGGATTGGTGATYTTAGAGTTTCCACAATCTGTAATTTCAAAGACATTGGTTAATAAATGGAAAATATAGGTACGTACATATAATATGTCGTATGAAACGGTGTTTAATCGTTTAATGTCTTTATATCATTGGTTACTTATATGTTATATCTATTAAAATTATTTGAGTTATTGAAGACAGTGCGTATTAAWAGATAAATTTAAATATTTTTTAAATGTCTAGTATTATATTTCGTTGTATTTTATACGAAAGCATGCTATACAGTACATAATAATTTGTCATTTTTTCTAAGTAAATTTCCTACAATCTACAACCTATCTTATACACCTATTAATTACGAGTATTGTACTTTAAATTTAAACCCTACCTGTTCATCATCATTTGGTTTCATTTTCAWTTTCTTTTCATATCTGAATGACTGTCTTGAATAATGTCTATTCTTAACCGGACAATAGGCTATAATGATATTGTAAATAACAATGCTAAAGAACATAAGGATTAGCACCCCATTTAGTAATTGATGTTTTCTCCGGTCCATTCTGTTTTTTTATACCTATACTCTTTTCTTTTAAGATTTCAGTTATCTATAATTATTAGTACTAAATCATTTTATTTCTTCAATCAATATAATGCATTCGGGATTAATAATTTTCAAGCATATTTATATTTAAGATATAAATAAATCGATTTTTAGATACTTAAAACTCTATAAAAAGAAGTAATCATTTTAATTTTGAGTAAATACTTATACTATATACTTATATTATATAACTATACGTAGCAGGTAACTAGTAGCTTTATAATTTAAAATTAACATTAATAATATATATATTACGAATGTGTACCTACCTACCTGTTTTATGTTTAGACAACTGTTTCAAAGTTGGAAATGGGAAATTTGTATACTATGTAAAGAGTATTATTTATAGTTTTTAATGYGATTCATTAAAATATATGATGCATATTATTTTATAATTTCATATTAATTTAGTTACCAGTCTAAGCTTTATAGYCTATCAATTTGTGGGAAAAATGGAGGAGCTATAGTATATCCGAAAAATATTATTACAGAAACGTATTAAATCCGAAAAGTATATACTAAAATGTGATTATTTCAGTTTTTTCAGTAGATATACCTATACCTATTTTTAGTGAGTATTTTATTTTTTAATTATTTTGATTTACAATTGACATTTTATTATTTGACTTAAATATTGATTTATTCCTGCAAAAAAAGACCCATCGGGTGTGCATGTTAGTTTGCCGACCGGAAAATTTACAGGAGCAACATTGTTCTCCAGCATCACCGATGGGTGTCCGTTCACTTTTGTGGACATATCTTGTATTATTGTTTATAACAAAATGGTGCAATGGCTGTGTTTATTTATTATAATACTATCATAAAGTATTAATGTATGTATTTATTTATTTATATAGAATTTTTAATTATAATATATAAATACTAKTATTGCTACAATTGTRTTATTATTATTATAAAAACTAAAATAAAATCATACATAATTTGATTAAAGCTTAGTAGATAATTAAGATTAATTTTTTGATTAATTAAATTTAATAATATATTGCATTACTTTTCTCATTGCCGTACACGTTTAAATAACACCGCTCAACATCAACATTATGTTTTGATTTTCACTGTTTTCACGATAACTGTTTATTATCTTGTTTCATTAATCGATGAATTAGTATAACTTTTGTGGCGACACACGGTTTGAGCAACACCAGTTTTCGATATTTTGTCAGGTATTTGAGGTATTGTATGTCTTTTCGTCATGATATCAGTTTAATACTTATAAAAAATGAACAGGCGTCCATACCAGACTATACCCAGTTAAGGGGTAAATTGAATACTGGCAAATAAAACAAGCAACTATAAGTTCTGTAAAATTAGTGAAAACTGCTAACTCACCAAAATCAACTCGTGTACTGCAATTGGTAGCTAGATYGAATTCTTCTACACAATGCATGRCTTATGGGTGATAGTGACATCTTTATATTTTCATCTGATTTTTTCCGAGAAATTTTATTTTTGATGACATTTGGAAAACTTACAACTAACTACTATTACAGTGCAAAACCGTATTTAAGATTTTTTTTTACTAATTATTGGAAATTAAGTGTGTCGAATACGAATAAATGGATCTGTTAGTTTTTCAAACTTATGAGTTGAGAATGAAAATGCTATTCTCCGAGGAAACTTCGCCGCTATTCTCGTATTTATATCGAATTCTAAAAGTGCTTCGGCTATTCATAACGTGGAATAAACATTGTACACATCAAAYATCACAAAAATCTGAACGTGCAATATTGTTTATAAATTATAACATGATGACATTAGAAGGTAATTCCAGATACTTAACACAGTACTATTACCAAATTTTATAAAATTGTCATTTAATGTTTATTAATGTTAAATAAATA